GCTTCCAATTATCTCCAACTTTCAGAAGAGGAATGTCTTAGCTTTGAGCCCCTGGATTCCGCCTCTCCCTGAAGTAAACCATCTACAGCCGGCAGCCCTAGACTAGATGTGTCTGCCTCTACCTCACTCGGCATCATGTGAGCAGCACCTTTTGTTACGGGGAGGCAGCCTGCCCCTCTCTGTTCCAAATCAAATAACCAAGAGGATCGCTTTTCCTTCGTGAAAATAAAAGTTGGTTTTTAGGGGGTGTTTTACCTAATTTTGAACACAAGAAATACAGTATTGAGTTTCTTGCCTTTAGACCCGGATTCTTTAGAGATTTCTGTATTAAAACATTTGAGTTGACAAGCACTGGCTAAAACATTTCAGTTCAAGATTATATATAGCTCACGTGTCATAATGGCCCAGTGGCTCGGTTGGTTGGAGCATCATCCTGTGCACCAAAAGGTTATGGGTTCAATTCCTAGTCACAGCACATATGTAGGCTGTGGGATCAATCCCCAGTTCGGGAGCGTATGGGAGGCAACCGATCAATGTTTCTCTCTCACATCAATGTTTCTCTGTGTCTCTCCCTTCCTAAACAATCAATAAAAACATACCCTCAGGTGAGGATTAAAAAGAGCAGGAACAAGCATAGCTACCCTTCACTGAGCACTTTCTGTGTACAAGGCACTTGGTAGCTCCTTCAAGAAATGAGTGATTATTCAGGGGCCACCACGGGGATCGAACTGAAGTAGCTACTGTAGCTTCCTGCACAGCCGTTAGCTCTATCATCCCAGAGAATGTTCCACCACCACTCGGTTTCAAAGGGTGGAACTCAGTGGCAGTCATCAGAAATAGTTTCACTTGCTCAGGCTTCAACATTTTGAGGATAAAGAGACATCCTTTCACCCAAGCCAGCCCTTCTCTTTTCTCGAGCTAAGCAAGGCCAGAAGGAAATAATCAGGTGCCCCCGTTTGAACTACACATGGGAAATGATAGCAACTCTTTCTTCCCAAGCCCAGCGTTTCCTTTGGCTCCTTATAAGAGACTAGGGGCCCGGTGCACGAAATTCATGCACATTAAAAGGGAATTAGAGGAAATGTTTTTAATATTGCTATTTGCCCTTTCTCTATAATAGAAGTGTCAGAGATGAAAAAAAATTAATAAAATGTATATGAAAATCTCCCTCCTGCCAGAGTCTGGAGCGTGCTGCGGGACCCAGAGTCAAGTCTCCGCCCACCTGCATATGCCTCAAAATTGCACAAGGCCCAGACCCGGCCAGCCCCACTCCCCATCAAGCCCCGCTGGGTGGGGGTCCCGGCCTCAGGGCCCCCAGCCCCCTGCGCTGGGGCTGAGGGTGCGGCCTCAGATCCTCTGGCCCGGTCTCAGGGCCCCAGCACTGGGGCGGGGGTGCAGCCTCAGGTCCCCTGGCCCAGCCTCGTGCCATGCAGCCTCACCCAGACCCTCTGTGCTGCAAGACCTCAGACCCACTGCGCTGCGGGACCCATCAATGTACCTCCTGGTGACTGGTCCTTTGGTCATTACGGTGTCACAGCCACTGGCCTTTAATAATATAGAGGACTGGTGCATGGATTTGTGGACCGGTGGGGTCCCTTGGCCTGGCCTGCAC